CTTACAAGAATCAAGAATTCTTTTGTTGAAAATATCCACTACTAGCTTAAGCTTTCTTATCCCATTTGTCATAATGGGATAAGAATTCTGACAATGGATTTCTTCACATTTTTCAAGCCCCAATTAGCATAGTGACTTTCATTTTTCAACCTGCAAGAATATTGAGGAAATTGTGTTTTAAGCTAACCTTCAACAGTTTTTGAGTCAGACATTCCTGGATCAGAAAACAATACTAAAAACTGCAAATACATCTAATATCTACTCACAAACAGTAACTTTCCATTATAATTAATTTGATTTTTCTGGCGCCAAGATATCAAATCAAACAAAAGTAAGAAAAAGATAATTACCAAAAAGAGAGCTGCAGATTGTAAATATGCTGAATATTAGGGAAAAACAAAAGCAAAAATATGTGTCAAAATGCATATCTCCTTTGTCTACAAAGGATTAGAATGCATAGATCTACAATAGAGGAACAGAAAACAGATGTATGATCAGATAATAGAAGATACAATAGTTGGAGGAAAAAATTTAATGCTTTTTTTAGATTTTGTTAACAAAAAGTTTAATGTTAAAATAAATTGTTGAAAAAATATTTTACATAAATCGTTATATAGTACACATACACAAACCTAATCTAAGGTTTAGTTGTCCATTAGAATGTTTAAAAATATCTAGTGTTTGATACAAGCCAAGTTGGAAAATCCATTAAACTCTAGATAACAGTTAGGCGAGCAGGGCAGCTGGTCCAGGTAGGAGCGAAGACATGATAATTGGAACTAATATCCCTTGAATTTGGAAAATGCAGGATTTCTAGATTTTAACCCTGGGTTTAAATTTTAACTCGTCGATTTTGGCGAGTTAAATTTCTAAACCGAGGGTAAAAATTCATGTTTAAATAAAGTGGCATTTATGCTTAAACTTAAAATTTAAGTCGAACTTTTCGTTCTTTAGTTTTAGACTCCTATCGCAACAAATTTGAAAGTTCTGATGTAGTACTGTTAATCTTATTGAGTTTTAAAAACTGTAGATAATCGATTTCTACAATGAGATTTGTCTAGTCTAAAACCAGAAACCAGAAAGCTAATAAAACTATCAGCTGTTTACAGAAGAAACATTCTCATTACCACCTACTTCTTCATGGCCTGAGTGACAAGGATGACTAGTTTAATTCATTCAAGATTTTTTTCGGAATAAATCATTATTTAAATAAAATTCCTTTATTATAGATAGGTTTCAACCACTACACAATAAATAAATAAAGGTTTCAGTTTTAGAGCTGTAAACTCCCTAATAATCAATATCAATGATAGTAGACTTCATTTCTTGAAGAGTTTATCATTAAAAGAGTAAGGAAAAGGCTTGAAAATAAAAATCAGAAAAAACAATAACCCCCCCAAAAGAAAAAACTTTCAGGTGTTTTTTTAAAGTGGGTTTTTATTGTTTTTTGTGGTATATTTTTGGGCTGGTTTTTTTTATGGCAACCCTGCAAAAATCTAAGAACTTTTACCAATTTCAAAACTATTTCTTTTAAACATTTGCCTTCATTTGTCATTTTTTTAATCCTGAAAGCAGATATTTGACAATAAAAAGCAAAAACTATTGTTTTTTGGGTTAGTTTTAATTATTATGATTAGAGATTTTACATAATTTTGAAATTTTGGGAACCTTACAAGTTTTAATTCAAAATGCTAGGTTTGATAGTAAAATTATTTCAAGTTAAATGAAAGATATATATTCACAAATAGAAAAATGTATGATGAATGCAAATTTATTTATTCAAATTTAATTTTACAAAATTAAAACTTTTAATGGAATAATATTTTCTCTTTATAATCCATGTTTAAGAATCAGGATGTTCTTATTTTCCTTTCTTTTCTTTGCTTCCCTTCTTTCCCTTCTTTCCCTTCTTTCCTTTCTTTTCTTTGCTTCCTTTATTTCCTTCTTTGCTTCCAGATTCAGAACTTCCAGATTCTTCACTGCTATCAACTGTTGTTGTAGTAGGAACAGTAGTAGTAGTTGCTACAGTAGTAGTAATTGGGACAATTAAAAGTGTAGTGGTAGTAGTAGGGGCAATAGTAGTAGTAGTAGTAGTATCTTGGCCATAGATACTTGTTGCTGTGCAGGCTAGAACTCCTACGGTTTAATTTATTCAGTAAAAACAAGTCAAAGTTAAGTATTTAATAAAGCTTTCAGATTTAAATGTTTCAAGAAAATAATTGTAATCAAACTATAATATAGCTTTAGTAAATCATAAACAGAAGTTGAATTATCTTAAAAATTCTCTTTTCATCAGAAGTTAAAGTTTGATGAAAATGTTTAGAACAAAAAGTTATTTTTATTAGAATAAGTTCCTAGAAGAATGAAGGAGAACATCTTGAATAACTGGTTTAGTTGCCTGGGTTTCCAACTATTTATACAATAAACTTCTTATCAAGTGTTTTCTGTTTAATATGTTTCTTGACAGGTCAATATAAATTTAAATTAAAATTGTTGGCAAAGTGTCTGTTGATAAAAAAGACCTTCATTTTCTAGTCCAAAAAAGGGTGCTTTAAAGGGAGTGTTCTCGAAAAATGAAAGGGGGTACAGGCTTGATGCGATAAAAAAGCGTTTTGAATCGCCACTAATCTTACTTCTATCTGTTGCGTCTATAAGGAGAAAATTGTTAAAGTAAGATTTTCATATTTTATTGAACATATTTTCAAATTCCTTTAATCCCATTAAATAGATTGATGAATGATATTTTTACAGTGAATTTTGCAAAATGAAGGTTTCTAATTTGAATCAAAATACAATTTATAATTTAAATTTATTTTGACCTGTCAAGAGAAATATTAAAAAGAAAACACTTGGAAAGTATTTATTTATATATAAATTTGGCTTGTATGTCTGTTTGTCTGTCTGTTTGTTTGTATCCAATAAACGTCAAAACGGCTGAACCGATCGGGACCAAATTTTTTGTGGGACATCACATGACCACAGGGAAGGTTTATGAATGATAAAAATTTAAAAAAATGTGTTTTATAGGCTTTTATTTTGTAAAAAATTTAAATTCTTGAAAATCCGCAAAAAAATTTTCTTCTTTGTTTTAAAATGTAAACAAAAAGAACATGTTCACAATTTAAATAGAAAATGGGCGCGAAACCACTTTTTCAAGATGTTCTCCTTCATTCTTCTAGGAACTTATTCTAATAAAAAAGTTTCCTGATATTTAAAATAAATCCTAAAAATTATTATTTTAGAGTAATCTTATTTTTGAAAAAAAAACTTGTTTACATTCTTTGTTTACATAAAAATGTTCAATATTCCGACTTTGTTTACATTTTTAAAGAATAAAGTGTACTGCAGGAGTCCTAGCCACAGCTTAGCTACCACTATTTCTGCCCAAGCAGCATGTACTGGTGCAGGGGAGGGGATCTTTGTTTAACAAGGTATTTTTCATCAACATTTAATAAAAATTCCAAAATAAAAAAATGGATATTTTTAGTTTTCTGGATTGAGCACTCGTACTCCTTTTCCAACTGGAACCAGTTGCAAGTATACATTATAATTTCATCAAAATATAAAGATATTTTTTTAATTTAGAACTTATTATTTTTGAAAATTCATTAGCTGGATATATAAAGCAGTTTAACCAGTTTACATATCTTAATAATTTATTATCAACTAGCTTGAGAACCCAGCGATGCCCATGGTAATCATTGTTAGCCCGTGCTTGGTTGTAAATTACGATTTAGCCATTTTCCCTGTAAAAGTGGACCCACTCAATTTAGAATCTCATAACCATGCTAAGAATTTTACCGTAGTCCTACCAAGTTTCTCATTCAAGTGGTATTGAATGCAGCAGCTATTGTCAGTTTGATATTTGTCTATCACAGGGAGAATCTTGTGCTTATGATGTTGGAGTCTGTTGTACAGATTTATCCTGTACACCAGATGGTACAGGAGACTTGTAATGTACTACTACTACTACCACGAATACTACTACTACTGCCATGACTACTACTAATACCACAACTACTACTACTACCACTACCACAACAACTTCCGCTACTTCAACTACTTCTACTACTTCTACCAAAACAACTACAACTACTGCTGCCCAAAAAACCACTACTACTGTAACAACTACAACAATAGTTGATAGCAGTGAAGAATCTGGAAGTTCTGAATCTGGAAGCAAAGAAGGATTGAAAAGTAAAGGAAAGAAGGGAAAAAGGAAAGAAGGGAAAAAAGGAAGCAAGGAAAGAAAGGAAAATAAGAATACCAGCATTGTATGATTAAATGTTTGTGGCATGGAACAGAAATAAATAATAATTCAATTGAAGATGTAAAATGAATTTTCATGAATGTCATGGGATTGTAAATACTTTCGTCATTGCTTACATGAATTGGAAACCTTTCCACCACCGTAAATAAAAAAAATTATACAAATTATTGAAAATTGTGCGGAAATACAGTTGGTGTTCATACAACTGTGTGTCTTGTGCTCTAGTGCCCACTAGAACTCCATTGACCTTTTCAAGTCAAACCGGTACAATTTCCCTTCTTTTTAGCCGTTCTACCTGGTTCAAACAAATTGCGTAAATTGAAACAAAATAATTGCGCATTTTTAAAAACTATGCATCAACACAATTCAGATATGCACAAAAAGTATTTTCAAACATTTTGTATGGTTTATTTAATCGCCAAAATGCACAACACACGAAACGTGCTTAATAATGGCAATTTTGCACAAAATATTGTTAAAACTTATGCATAATAATGAAGGAGTATATGTGTTTGTTAAGTTGGTAAATCATGGATATACATAAAATAGATATGCCATAGACAAGTTTTGGTGTAATTTTATCGCTTGGGTACATTAGACATACTAGACATTAGACCCGGAACTTGCACTTTGTCTTTAATTTTCGTAAAGTGGAAGGGAGTGACCGGCAATGTAATTAAGGTAATTAAACTGAGAATTTAGTATTGTGGGAAAATTTTTTAGGATTCATTTGAGACATATAAAACGTTTTAATGATGTAATATTACTGAGTTTGAGCGCAATGTCGACGTCGACGTCCATTTGGGTTACATTAAAGGGAGTGACCGGCTATGTAAGGTAGTTGAACTGAGTATGCAGTGTTGTGGAAAACTTCTTTCGGATTCATTTGAGACATATTAAACTTTTTAAAGATCTGTAAATCCTGAGTTTGAGCGCAAATTCGACGTTCAAAACTCCTACTTTGGGGGTGGATACGTTTTCAGAATTAGTTTTTTTAAATTATTAAATAACGACGAAGAATCCTAAAGAATTTGTCCACAACACTTCATACTAAGTTTAACTACCTTACATAGCCGGTCTGTCCCTTTACGGAACAAATTAGATGTCAAGCCCATTCAAATTATATGTCAAGCCCATCCTAATTAAATGTCAAACCCATCCAAATTAGATGTTAAGCCCATCCAAATTAGATGTCAAGCCCATCCAAAAATATTACATTACGCTGGTCCAGCACAGTGCAGATATGAGATAGGTATTAAAAGTATTTGAAGACGTTTACTTATATTTTACTTTGCTGTGTAAGTAAGAATTTTTTAAAACAATCTTTATGACTAAACATCTTTTAATTGTTAAAGGGAGTGACCGGCTATGTAAGGTAGTTGAACTGAGTATGCAGTGTTGTGGAAAACTTCTTTCGGATTCATTTGAGACATATTAAACTTTTTAAAGATCTGTAAATCCTGAGTTGGAGCGCAAATTCAACGTTCAAAACTCCTCCTTTGAGGGGGGATACGTTTTCAGAATTAGTTTTTTTAATTATAGCCGGTCACTCCCTTTAACGCTTTCACGGGAAGGACAAGGTAACCGTAATTTCAAGTGACCCTTCTTGCAAGAATGCAAACTGAACAGTAATGCCCGATTAATATCAGTTTCCTTGAATTCAACCCTTAAATTGACATTTGCGATGGAATAGTTTAACCCTTAGTTTAACATAGTACAGGGTTATTCACATTTGTTGAGACTTCATAGACGACTGTACGGAATATATTCAAACGTACACTCTTCTTGCAGATCCGGTTCCCTAGGTAGCTAAACGCTTGTTTCTGTAAATAACAAAATACGAGAATTTGAAAAGATTTTATTTAAAGTAAAAACGCAATTTACAAATTTTAAAGATCTTAAGGCCGTCATTAATTATTTTTCAAAAGATTAATCTTTAAATAAGCGAAATATTTTCTGAGATTTTTACGTTTTTAGAGGGGTTCATGGATAATTACACAGAATAGGAGGGATAGGGTTTAGAGGGGTTCAGGGATAATTATACAGAATAGGAGGGATAGGGTTTAGAGGGGTTCAGGGATAATTACACAGAATAGGAGGGATAGGGTTTAGAGGGGTTCAGGGATAATTACACAGAATAGGAGGGATAGGGTTTAGAGGGGTTCAGGGATAATTATACAGAATAGGAGGGATAGGGTTTAGAGGGGTTCAGGGATAATTACACAGAATAGGAGGGATAGGGTTTAGAGGGGTTCAGGGATAATTACACAGAATAGGAGGGATAGGGTTTAGAGGGGTTCAGGGATAATTATACAGAATAGGAGGGATAGGGTTTAGAGGGGTTTTCATGGATAATTATACAGAATAGGAGGGATAGGGTTTAGAGGGGTTTTTATGGATAATTATACAGAATAGGAGGGATAGGGTTTAGAGGGGTTCAGGGATAATTATACAGAATAGGAGGGATAGGGTTTAGAGGGGTTCAGGGATAATTATACAGAATAGGAGGGATAGGGTTTAGAGGGGTTCATGGATAATTATACAGAATAGGAGGGATAGGGTTTAGAGGGGTTCATGGATAATTATACAGAATAGAAGGGATAGGGTTTAGAGGAGATGATTATACAGAATAGGAGGGATAGGGTTTAGACGGGTTCAAGGTTCATGGATTATTTTACAGAATAGGAGAGATAGGGTTTAGACGGGTTCAATGTTCATGGATTATTATGCAGAATAGGAGGGATAGGGTTTAGACGGAATAATGTTCATGGATTATTATACAGAATAGGAGAGATAGGGTTTAGACAGGTTCAATGTTCATGGATTATTATACAGAATAGAAGGGATAGGGTTTAGACGGGTTCAATGTTCATGGATTATTATACAGAATAGAAGGGATAGGGTTTAGACGGGTTCAATGTCCATGGATTATTATACAGAAGGGATAGGGTTTAGACGGGTTCAATGTTCATGGATTATTATACAGAATAGAAGGGATAGGGTTTACATTAGAGGGACAAATGTGCGGGCTTTATCTAAAGACGGCAAAAAAACGATGAAAATAAGTTTTAGGCATGATTTTAAGAATTCTTTTCGTTCAAACTGGAAACGTTGCGTAACGTCTTCCTTCACAAAGGGTGTCCATCTATATACAAAATGTACTGTAAAAAAAACAACTACGATATGTTCAAATACAGTCGAGCTTTGGAGTTACTACATAATGTCGACTTAGGCTATATTGACGTTTTTACAATGCCTTTTTTCTTGAATGGGCATGACATATGGTCCCAATATAATGTTGGTTTTTGTTTTGTTTAAAATGTCATTTTGGTCCACGGAAAAGCCGGAAATGTCATGTATAAATGAGTAAATACATTTTTGTAGTTTCCGCTGAATGTTTGATAAAAAACAAATATTTTTTGTCAACATACAAGACTACAAGTGCAATTGTTTACAGTTCTATGTTTAGTTGCATGTCTCAAAATCATGACAATTTTGCGGTTTTTATTAGAAAACCTGATTTTACGATAATGATTTTTGAAACTTAAACAATAATTTCAAAATTGAATTTCCAACTATGAAGAATTCTACTCTGATCTCAATTTTATAAAGAATCAAAAATTTGTATTTATTTTGTATTTTCAAAGATTTGAATATCAGGTATACCATTCTGGAAAGTCTTTTTTTGAAATCCACATTGTCAATAAATTTGAAAAGGCTGGGGGTCTAAATCTGAATAGGCTGGGGTCTAAATCTGAATAGGCTGGGGGTCTAAATCTGAATAGGCTGGGGGTCTAAATCTATCCAAAGCCCGTGAGGAAAGGCCTAGAGTCAAAGTATGGAATTTATAGGCCAATTTTTTAAGGCCATTACATTTCTAAAAAATTTAATCTATAAAGTTAAATAATTTGGGTGCCATTGGGCCAAAAGTATAGATCAAAGATCGAAGACGATATTTATAACCATCCTGAAATTGTCCAATTAAGCGGTACACCCTGTATCATAAATAAAGGCCAGAAATTGACATCATGGTATAAATAACTGTAATGAAAGTAAAAAGTTTATGTTTCTAGAATGATTAAAGGAAAAAATTGAAGACTCTGGGAATGTCAAAATATTAAAATCAATTTTTAATTATTTATTTTCGAATTAGTTTCACAAATTAAGGTATTCTGATTGCTTGAATAATTCATTTGATCAAATTGATTTTTTAATCTATCCATGACGATGTCCTCCTCTCCCTCCTTTCTTTCCTTTCTTGCCCTTGCCTTCTTTACTTCCAGATTCAGAGCTTCCAGATTCAGAACTTCCAGATTCAGAGCTTTCAGATTCAGAGCTTCCAGATTCTTCACTGCTATCAACTGTTGTTGTAGCAGTAGCAGTAGTTGTAGAAGTTGTAGTTGTAGTTGTAGTGGTGGTAGTGGTAGTAGTAGTAGTGGTGGTTGTTGTAGGAGGAGCAGTACACTTCCTATCTCCTGTACCATCTGCTGTACATGTTAGTCCTGTACAGCAGACTCCAACTCTGTTTGCACATGAAGCTCCTTCAGTCAGACAAGCATCAAACTGACAGTAGCTGCTGCCTTCAGTTCCAGCTGCTGTTATGAAGGGACTAAATACACAAAGATAACAAAAACATTCTAAATAAAAATAGATAATTATATTTCATTTCGAGAACTTTTTCTGTTAGATAATATATTGTAAATTATTTTTTGGGGTTTGATCATTGAACAAAGGAATTGAGTCTTTGTCACAAACTATGATTTTCTAATCTCTATATCTTTGTAATCCAATGACGTAGACCATAGATATTTCAAACTATTAGTTCTGTTAGATAAAAAAAATCTAAGTTTGAAATATCAAAGTTTACACCATCAGGTGGAAAAAATATAGGTATTAGAAAATCAGAGTTTGTTACAAAGACTCAATTCCTTTGCAAAATTAAAGTACTGTAGAATTTCAAGTGAACTCCCATTTATAGAGTGTTTAAAGGTTACTAAATGGATGATCACTTGAAATAGCGTCTTATAATCACTTTCAGAAAAGAAAAAATGTATACATACGTGCAACTGGTTCCAGCTGGGCAAGGTGTACAAATGGTAAGTCCAGTGTTCTAAACAATGTTCACATTATAGAGTCTGTAATATCATTTTTAATTATTATCTTAGAAAAATATTGTTTACTTATCATACATGCTTACTTCAAGGAGAATTTCATTATAGATCGACGTGCTATAAAGTAATCATCGTGCTATAATGCATAATGTTATAACTATATTAGATGTATATTATAGCACCGGGGTATAAAGTTAAGTTGGTTACGGGAACTTATCCCAAAAATTCTGGATATTTGGATGCAGTAACAAATTAAAAGATCCTCAGTGGCATTTCTGATTATTAAAGTACTTTACTGAATATTCCTGGTAACAGTAACGCCCCCAAAAGATGGTTTGGATTCACAAACTATTGGCTTTAGTACTATAACACTATGAGGGACTGTAAAGGAAAACTGAAAGCGGGTATAGGATGAAACCTCAACAGTACACTTGAGCTGATTGAGACCTATAATAGTTATATCTGATGTTCTAGTCCGAACCTAAGTTATTTAGGCTCCTCTGGGTTATCGTAGTTTTCAGATTGGTCGCGTATTTGCTAAATATGATCTGTTTTAAACTTAGATTCTTGTACCAAATCTCATATATAAGTTTTGGTATAACTTTGACAGGGTTTTATAACAATTTCTCGAGACAGGGACATCAGATAGAACTCTTATAGGTCTCAATCAATTCCGAAAGTGCTTGGGTTTCAGCCAATACCTGCACTTTCATTTTCCCTTTACAGTCCCTTTTAATACCAACACTTTCCCTTTGCAGTCCCTTTAAATACCAATACTTTTCCCTTTACAGTTCCTTTAAATACCAATACTTTTCCCTTTACAGTCCCTTTAAATACCAACACTTTTCCCTTTACAGTCCCTTTAAATACCAACACTTTTCCCTTTACGGTTCCTTTAAATACCAATACTTTTCCCTTTATAGTCCCTTTAAATACAAATACTTTTCCCTTTAAGGTCCCTTTAAATACCAATACTTTTCCCTTTACAGTCCCTTTAAATACCAACACTTTTCCCTTTACAGTCCCTTTAAATACCAACACTTTTCCCTTTACAGTCCCTTTAAATACCAATACTTTTCCCTTTACAGTCCCTTTAAATACCAACACTTTTCCCTTTACAGTCCCTTTAAATACCAACACGAATAATAACAACTTCCAAGTCCTAATACGTCATACTATAGGGTTTCAAGCGGAAACAAACTCTTGCAAACTTTTGCGCGGAATTCAACATTTTTTTTCGCGAAAATGAATTTTTCGATGAAAGTGCAAACGATGCACAATGGCACACGACGATTATTTAATTTCGTTTGAAACCCTAGGCGGCATACTGGTCTGATGCCCTCTCTTTTCAATGTCAAAAAAGACTTAAGTTAGACCTGCACTAAGATTGCATTTTTTTGGTTTGAAAGCCTTTGACTCTAAGAGAGCAGATTGCACAAATTTTGCAAAGACATTTTGAACACAATCTTAATTTTAAGCTCTTTTTTGGGTATTTGAATTATAATATTTTTCATATTTAGCGTAATTTTTCTACCAATTTCGAGATGAATGTCTCCTACCCCCCTACCCCCATATTGCACGGTAAGGTTAGTAAGAATATGGTTCAAGATTTGCGTTTGCACCAAGATAGGATATAACTCATAAAAGTTGGGCTTTTAAATTTTGAAAGTTAAAACCTTATTGAGACAAAGATCCCCTGCACTTGTACATGCTTGGGCAGAAATACTGGTAGCTGTGGCTAGGACTCCTGCAGTACACTTTATTCTTTAAAAATGTAAACAAAGTCGGAATATTGAATCAGCTAATTTTGGATTTTTTTTATTTCTTCTTTTTTTGTTTATTATGTAGGCTAACAAAGTTATAGTTATGGACAGAAGTTTACATGCAACTATAAAAACTTAAACATTTTTTAGAAAAAAGAATTTAATAGCTATTTTTTTAATAGCGCCAACTTTGAAAAGTTAATAGGGTTTTTTGAAAATTCTTTTTTAATTAAATTTGGAGTTTTTATTAGAACAAGTTCCTAGAAGAATGAAGGAGAACATATTGAATAACTGATTTATTTGCCTGGGTTTCCAACTATTTATACAATAAACATCTTTCCAAGTGTTTTCTGCTTCTCCTGCGTATACAATGTGAATTTTTATTATATAATATTTTCAAGTTACGTGTTTTTAATATTTTCTGCAGCTGGTCGGGGGCCAGGCGTTACCAAATTACATCAAGTTTATAACAAAGAAAACAACTATCTTAAATTAAGAAAATAATTCTTATCGTTTAATTTTTAAGAAAATTGTTAAAAATGGAATTCTTTTGATTACAATGAGACACATAATTTAAGTTGTTGATTCTGAAACTGATAGTTATGGATTTTTAAGCCATGATCGTTTAAGTTGATAAGATCAAAAACTCATTGTGCAGCTTTGTATACTGAAATATAGTCTAGTAAAGATTTGGTTTAAGGTTTTTCTTTTAACTTTTGTTGACATTATTTTTATGAAAAACCTAAACAATTGTCCTCTGCTCGCAAATAATAATCAAGAAAAAAAATTGGTAGAACTTATTAATTTCCAAGAGGGTGTGTCCCCCTGAAACGGAAGCCGCTACAGGGTTTCGCGGGTTTTAATTAAGAAATCAATGTTTCTCAGAAGTACAGGGTGTCCCACGACACATGGCAGTTGGTGAATAGTTTAGAATGTCTTCTTCCATAATTTGTTAAGTTATTTAATACCAATTAGACAATGATAAAAATATTATATAGGCAGGGGCGTACGAGGGTATTTGTGTGGGGAGGGGGGGGGGGCACATTTTCTTAGGATTGATACACATTTTATAATAAATTGTGATATCATATATATATTTACACTGTAGGCTGTATTGATTAAAGCTTTTTTAATGAAACTTTTTTAGTTATAAGGGCAAAAGTGGGATTTTAAAGTATTTTTTTCCATACGATGTAATTTCAAGTGACCCTCCATTTATAGAGTGGCATGACGCGATGTACCTTTGAAAGCTTCACTTTTCCATCGTTTCTGAAGCAAGAAATGCGCGAGTCACTTTTGTAGAGAAACCACAAATAAAAATATTCAGTTTTCAAAATGGGAAACATGGAATTTTAATGCAATACTTGATCAGACAAAGCTTTGAAGGGTATTGTTGTGAATCAGAATATAATTTACTTCTTTTCTTAATCTTTTAGTTTGGGGTGAGTGCAATGCAATGTAGAATGAAGATTGCCTGAGGAAGATGTAATATTAAAAGAACCCCCCCCCCCATGAGTCCCCCCTCAGAGGGGGCACGCGTAGGAAGGAGGGCTGTATATAGGAGTCATATCATAGTAAAATTAACTGTAAAGTAAAACATATTTGAGCAAAAGATTTTTTAAACGAAATAAACTCCAAACAGCCTCTAATGTCTAATACAGTGTACGGAAGACGACATTCAAAACTATTTACCAACTCTCATGTTTCGTGGGACACCCTGTATAATAAACTGTTTTTGTTGTTTTTTGTTTTTACATTTCCCGATATAGCCAGGTCTGAAATTGTGTACAAACGAGAAAGCTATAGTACTCTTGCATCTTGGGAAATTATAAAATTAAAAAGAAATTTTCCATTTAAGATTTATGACTCAAATACAAATTAGATCTACATGTGGTTTTCTGAGAATATGACTAAACCTATTGAACAGATGCACTGAATGAAAAGAGTACGAATTTAGAATATTTTCTTTGTATTATGATAGTACGGGAAGTACAAGTCAAATTAAAGTAGATTTCTTAAACGAGAGATTGAAGTTTGCTGCAGCATATTGGGTCTCCTCCGCTGAAGTGGAGGCCACCGGAGTGAAATTATTTTCAGCGGAGGGAATGCACAAGTATGATTCAATTCAAATTACTCTACTGCTCCGGAGGGATGGTATCTAACAATAGGACAGTAATTACTCCACCGGGGGGATGGTAATTAACACTCAGGACACTAAATACTCCATCTTAGGGATGTCAATTAACACTCAAGACACGAGTTGCTTCATAGGAGGGATGATAATTAACACTCAGAGCACTAATTACTCCAGTGGAGGGATGGTAATTAAAACTAAGGACACCAATTACTTCAGAGTAGGGATGGCAATTAACACTCAGGACACTTATTACTCCAGCGTAGGAATGGTAATTAACACCCAGGACAATAATTATGCCAGCGGAGGGATAGTAATTAACACTTCGGAAACCAACTACTCCATTGGAGGGGTGGTAATTAACACTCAGGACACTAATTACTCGAGGGGAGGTATGTTCATTAACACTCCGTTGGAGTAATTGTGTCCCAAGTGTTAATTACCATCTCTCAAATGGAGTTATTAGTGTTTTGAGTGTTAATTACCACCCATCCGATGGAGTTATTAGTCTCTTGAGTGTTAATTACCACCCATCCGATGGAGTTATTAGTGTTTTGAGTGTTAATTACCACCCATCCGATGGAGTTATTAGTATCTTGAGTGTTAGTTACCATCCATCCGATGGATTTATTAGTATCTTGAGTGTTAATTGCCATCCCTCCGATGGAGTTATTAGTGTCTTGAGTGTTAATTATCATCCCTCCGATGGATTTATTAGTGTCTTGAGTGTTAATTACCATCTCTCCAATGGAGTTATTAGTGTCTTGAGTGTTAATTACCATCTCTCCAATGGAGTTATTAGTGTCTTGAGTGTTAATTACCACCGTTTCTTTTGGATTTATAATTTGCAACCATGAGGAAATTTACTTTACTCATACTTTGGCGTAAAATATAAACTATAGGAGTTTTGATGTGGCGAATGTGATTAAGTCGTATCAGTAATTTTGTCTAAATTTGACCATCTTCTTTTGACACTAGATTGGAGTGAGAACAAACAAACTTTATATTTAAACCTTAAATTGTTCCTTTTCTACTTCTAAGCTTATTTCATCGGAGGTCACAAAGCCACGTACCAATAATGTCTAGTGAAGAGCATGAAAAGTTGTTTTATCTATGCGGGTGCGAACCCCTTCAACATTTTTACTAATATCTTTGTGTCATATGTTTAAAAGTAAGATTTATATTATTGAAAATGATATAAATGAACTAATTCCAAAGACGACTTAAAACTCCATAAGTATGACGACTCCAATGTTGAGTTAAGTCTGCCATGCCTTGAAGTCTTTTTAAGTGGCTTATTTATTGTTTTGGCAAAGTAAAATAGAAGTTTATGGTTGCATGGGATATTTAATAATAGAAAACAGACAGTGTATATATGTGTAAATTCCGTACTTATTATACTGTGTAACCGGGTAACCCTGTAAAGTAACTGCTCATAAACACAACTCAACAAATATATCTCCTTTAGAAAAAATTGAATTTAAATAAAATAATAATAATATTTCGCGGGGATACAACCTTAAAAAGAGATTTAGAATTAGTTCTTGATTCCTAACATTTCTATTTTTTGTGCGTTTCATAATTTTTAAATTGTTTAAAAATTATTTATTATGAAAAAGGCAATAAAACTATTTTATGTTTATTTGAACTATTTATTTATTTTCTACGAATTATTAAAAACAAACAAAGATTAATATTTGTCTTTACTTTGCATCTATTTGTTTTACAATTACTCCACCGAGGGGATGGTAATTAACACTCAGGACACTAATTACTCGAGNAGTTTTGCCCGGAAGAGTCAAATGTGGTGGTACGGAAGGGGAAATAGTGGTGGCTAATGGCTGCCGGAAGAGAAAAAAGATAATATGTGGCACGGAAGGGGAAATAGTGGTGGCTCATGGCCCCCTGCTTTCCCCCGCTCGACTATGAGAATGTTGTGGTTATTGTTTCAAGAATCATACATGTGAAAGTAGGTTGACGATTAAATGTCACAAATAAATTTAAAGTTTAAAGACGACTTTCAAGTCCTAATATTATGTTTCGTGGGACACCCTTGAACACGTACAAGTTTGTTTGGGAGAGAGGGGGGAGGTTAAAACTTAGAGCTGTTCTGAAGCCTCAAACTAATACAATAGCAAATTAAAATCACATTAAACCGCTGGGCTGACCTTTTAAAAATTGTTTGATTTAAAAAATGATTAACTTGGAAATTTCGCCGAAATATATTTTTTTCATGATTAATTATTAATTTGTTAATCTTTTTCTTTGTTCTTATTTAAAATTACTGCAGTTTCTCATTTACAATGGTACTTTTAAAAGCGCCGTCAAGTCTGTCATATCAAAAATGCGTCAATTTCTTTATTCAAATAAAGTTTTAATAAAGTAAAGGAGTTTTGCTTCAGAAACAAGGAAGAAATTGTCAGAATTAAAAAATTTTCATAATAGAAAAAGACAATATGTTCAACAATATTAATCAGATAAAGGTTGTATCGGATATTATTCTTCTTAAATAAAAGTTTACTTGAAATCACAGTTTCATTAACAGCTAGAGTAAATGAAGTTTCTTTAAGTAGTCTATAAACGAAAGCATCCTGCTTTCCCTTAGCTTTCTGCAAACTCAGTGACTTCTTCGGCGGAATTTTCCAAGAGACAACTTCCCAAACGGCAACTTCTTAAAAGTTAGGTTAGGCCCTCTGAGGCGCCGCAGGCTGCATTGGTGGCCGAGCGCTACAGCTAGGATGGGCTTAGAGCCGAGCGCCGTGGTTAGAACAGACTGGGGGCCGATTGCTACGGCTATGACAGACTTGGGAAGTTGGCGCTTGGGAAAACACTCTTGGGAAGTTGCACTTGGGAAAAATCCTTTGGGAAAGTACCTAACATCTGATCAGATGCTTTGTGGAGGGGAATCCAGCTAGCCCAGGCACGAAATGGAGGGAAGAGGTTGTGTGGTGTGGTCGTGGAGGATGAAGATCTTACCTTACTCTTACCTTAAACCCTACTCTCCGGGACTCAAACCTAATCTTAAAATAGCTCTAACGTAATTTCCCTTTTAAGAGGGGCATTCAGGGGGGATGATAGTTCTCTACCTGTGTGCTCAGTTAGCTGCACTGTACACTTACAACTGTTTACTAATATTGATATAATATAGGTTAGGCCAGATTCAACTTATAATAATCAATTATGCAGTACGCTCTCGGTATAGTTCACAGCCTATAAAATTAGTAAAGGATTAGCGTACATCATCACTCTATACACTATAACCTCGTTGTTCATGGCCTATAAAATTAGTAAAGGATTAGCGTACATCATCACTCTATACACTATAACCTCGTTGTTCATGGCCTATAAAATTAGTAAAGGATTAGCGTACATCATCACTCTATACACTATAACCTCGTTGTCAAAGAGGGGCATTCCATAATTACAGCGGTTTTCTTGATCTAGACAAAAATAGAATATTCTGGGTTTTCTATTTAAACCTGAACATTTGTTATCATTAAAAAAATGGGTTGCAAATTTAAGAAGTGACCACAAAGAATTTATATTAATTCATTTTATCACCTTTCCAGAATCAACAATTTCTTTCCCATTTTTCTCCAGTCAGAGGTTTAAAGGGTACCGTTGTGAATCGGAGGGTCATGGTGAAATTAAGTGGAAGATTCGGGTTAAAAACAGAAAAGTAAAGTTTAAAACTAATTTAAATTACGTCTGAAGTCTCTTTAATCTGGACCATGTGCCTCCTTTCTTAAATCTTCTTTCTATTTTTATATCATTTTTAATTTATTATTGTGTCAGTGAAATATTTATTTGTAAGAAATTCGAATAATTCGAAAATATGGAGCAATATAAAACTAGGTTTCTAGCTGCAAAATGTAAATATATATAAAAATGGTACAATTAAGAACCCAACAATATGTATAATATGTAAAATAAATTTGTAACTATAAAAATTAAGTTTGCAAAATTTTCCATCTCACTCTTTCAGTTAAAATATATTTTCCCCAGACGTATCCCTGAATATCAAAATGTACTTGTAAACAGTGAACATCAGAAATCTACGAAATGTTTGAAAAAATCCTCAAAAATGTGTTTTCCGAAAATGTTCAGGCTTGGTAAAAATTATAATTCTAGGGAACTTCAAGTGGAATTAATTTAATTAAAATGATAAAAATAAAATTTCCAACCATTAGAACAATAATATGAAAATATATAAGAAAAATAAGTGTACAAATGCAAATAATACCAGTTACCGTTTTGGCACTTATGTTTGTGACATAAAGGGAATGACAGGGAGTCCAATTGAAACATTATTCAATAAATGTTAGACATAAAAACGTGTTTTTCGAGCCTAAATATACAGCTGAGAGAAGACTTAAAGGTCATTTTTGATCTTTGAGATAATTTATTTAGGAAATGTGGTCGGCCTTTCTTGTGCTTTAAATATTATCGGAGATATTAAAAATCCCGTTCATTCAAAATTAACAAAAATAGTCTGAACGAAATTCGTCACAAAAAAACCACACCACAATTTTGAAATGCCAGACCTAGTCCAATTTTGTGATTATCAATTCAAGAATTTTACTTCTAAAATTAGGTTGACAAATACATACCGCAAATTAATTCAAAGAAAAACCACAATCGTCTCTCAACTGTCTAGTTTCGTGGGACAACCTGAATCAGATTTATGACATTTGATTCTTTTATACAAAGTCTTCGAATAATTATTTTACTTGGACACCCTGTAAATTAATTTTAAAAAACCAGAGTGGGTAAAAAATATAGCATGGGGTAAAAATATGTGAAATCTGTTTGAGTACTGAATACAGCAGTCAGATATTGTTCAAGATACAATACACATGAGAAATAAGATATTTTGATTGTTTAAAGTACTTTTCGGAAACATTACACATTAGCACCCTGTGCAAGAGTATACACAATATTTTGCTAAATAAAGGTTTAGCAATGTTAAAAATAGCACGTTTACTTTGTGTAGGCAGTCCTTGGTTTAAACATATAAGGCTGGTTAAATTTCGTCCTCCGAAACTACGGTTTGGAAGCAAAAATACAAAGGCACATAAGGTTATGGTAACAATACTATTCAACAGTGAAAATAATACTTTAATATTCAAAGTTTCTGTTTTGAGACTCGGTGGGGTTCTTGTTTGAGAAAAAGGATTGATTTTAATAATATTCTGCTTAAAAAGGAGCACACAGTATTGTACTGGGCCCCGAAACTAGTCTTAGTTAAGAATATTATACTGGGCCCCGACACTAGGAATATTGACTGGAACTCTGCAACCCATCTCAACCAATCGTTCCATATGGCACGTCCGACAAAGCAAATGGTCCTGAAAACAAATTGTCTTAAAGTTTTCTTTTATATAAGAATGAAATTTAAAATAAATTTAAAGCTGAGGACTTAGAATCTTTTGCAAAACGATATTTTCAAGAGTTTCACAGTTACAGTGTTACTTTCTTAATTGAAATAACCATTAGCCACAGCGCACTACCCGATAACAGATCCCTATGATCAGATCTAACCTTACAGATAGACAGGGAGAAAATGGGAAAATTCCACTGGGTATAATCTATCAAACTGATTCAGGGAAATCCTTTAGTGTTAACTAGCTACTACCAATTGAATTTAACATAAATTAAATATGATTAGGATTAACAAATAAAAAAAATAAAATTTACCTGAAGCGGATAGCACCGTTTGTCTGGTTCGTCTGTCAGCTGCATATCACACATTTCACAAACGTAGCAATCCACGTGGAAATCCTTCTCCATAGCAACAACACGGACCGTCTCCTCTGTTCCCTCCACCGGCGTAATGCCGTCACCGCAGGCAGCACATTTTGGCGCGAAAATACGATGAAAGTCGTTGACGCAGTAAATTTTATTGTCAAAATCAACCGTGAATGGAATTCCGTCTAAGCACTCGTTACATACACAGCAACGGAAACAGCCGGGATGGTATGTTTTTCCCATAGCCTAAAATACAAAAAATAAAAAAATAAATTTAAAAAACTAAAACCTCTAAAAATTGCCTATTTCTTTCACTTGACCTTCCCGTTAAATAAATAATTTTCATGACCACCAAATTCCAATGTCAAATTGACCTTAATAAAGTATGTTAATTTACCAAACAAGAAAGACACCAGGGCTAGTGCAAATACGCTACTGCATTTAAAAACTCGATTTTTGGGTAAAATTTATCTATGTTACTTTGATTGATTGATTAAGATTATCTGCGCGAAGCGCCAAAATCTTTTTTACATTTTTCCTCAATTAATGGTAATCATGGACATGGAGACTGGAGATCAAGTTACTAAACGGAGATATTTGTGTCCCCTTGGTTCTAGGGGGGAGGCAATTACCCCCAGGATTCTAGGGGGGAGGGGGTAAGTAACCCCAATAACCCCCCTTATTTACGCCACTGCTCATCAGACACTTTTTCTTAATACTGTGACCTTGTAAGATTGACATGTATGACCTCCAAATACTAAATGATGACAGATGGTAACTAAATTGACCTCTGACAGTAAAAATCCCAGCTTAAGATAACCTCTAAATCTGTACCTGTAGAATCATCTCCATAATAAGATGACCACAATGTTCGCAGATCTCTGATGTTTGCTGGAAACCAGAATACAGGTAGTCCTCCTCACAGTACACCTGGAGGAGAAATCAATCAATCAATCAGTTCATTATGTATCATCGGTTTTACGAACATCATATACAATATACATTTTACGATGCACACGTCACGATTGCTATGATCAATGTTCATTGCACTATTTAAAAATCATAAATTGAGTCTGACAGTCGTTTTCGTAGGATCATCAGTAAGGAAAAAACCTATGCCATAAATCAATTAACAAAATATAAAATATTACGTGAAAATGTTTAAACTAACCTTTCCATTGACATTATAGAACGCTTTCCCTCTAAGTGTTCTACCACAAGAACAGCAGACAAAGCAGGATGTGTGGTAAAGGTTTCCCATAGCTTGACAAGCAGCTCCTGCTCCTGTTACACGCTCACCACAGCAACAGCATTCACCAAAAAATTCCTGTTTAAATATCAATATAATAGTTGCAGATAGAAAGATAGATAATGATATATATATTTAGCTTGTATTGTTTGTTTGTTTGTTGGTTTGGTTTGGTTTGGTTTGGTTTGGTTTGGTTTG